CTGTACGCCATTACAAGAAATAAAAGAACTTTTTTTCGTTTTACAAAAATTTAAACCTTGCAGCTTGAAAACCTTAAGCCTGCCTGAACCCTTATAAGAATATGCCAAAAAGGAGCACACTTATTCGTATGACTAACAACCACGACTGACAACAAAGTTTTGGCTGCAACTCGAACCACTGTGCAGCGTTGAAGTTTGTTGAAGTCGTTCTTGCGCGCCTGTTTGACTTTGTCATTAGCAAATGCACTTGAGGCAGTGCAGCGAAAACGAAGCCAAGTGAAATACTTCAGGGATTTATGCATCCCTGTCGCTGTTGCCTTTTGTCGCATTGTCCTGCCACTTCCGCTTGATGCGGCCTCTCATTAAAGTTTGAGGCAAGCAGCCGCATTGTTACATTGTTCGCAATTACGGCTGCCAAAAGGGGCAACTTGAGGCGTGAACAAGGCAACCGAAACTTATTTACAATTAAACTGTTGCCTACTTTGAATATTGAATAAATATGCTAAGCTCGAGCAGCAGCTGGCGGCACAGCACCGAGAGCACTTCCTGTCGACACTTGGCGCCTGCAGAGCCGCTCGCCCTCTCCCGCTGCCGCTGATGCTGCCTAGTGGCAGTCCACAGCTGGGCAAATGCAATTGCACAATTTCCAATTGTGCGCAAAATGTTGGCCAAAATGCTTCATAAATTGTTTTGGCAACAAGTCAAAGCAGCCGGATCGGCAGTCGAAGCTGGCGATGCCAAGCCGGAAGCAACTCAAAGGAAGCTGCCTACCAAGGCGCAGCTGGAGCCAATTCGAGCCGGGTTGACAATGGCCTTTGGCAAAATTGTGGCTAACGAAATAATGGAATCAGTTGTATATTCTCTTTAAATCGGTATAATGTAAAAGTTAAAAGGGGAAAAGAGTGGTAATTGATACTATATAAAGTAGGAGACTGAACTCGAAACTTCCGCCATGCAATCTTTCACTAAATGAGGTGAATTTTTTTGAAATGGCGGAATAATAATAATTTTCCATACCTTAGGTAGTTTAGAGCTGGGCCTATCTTCTAGTCTGTTTTAAAATACTTAGCTAAACTTTTTGCGTTCTACTCTCTTTAGAAGCTTGCTGCCATTGTTGTCGCCATTAACAAAACTTCAGTTGCCCATGCCATTTGCCAGGTGGTAGGCCGTAGTCCTGCATCCTTGGCCTCTGGCATGGGGCACTTGGGGGGCAGCAATGTAACAGGTTGCAAAGGAGATTAGACAGTCAGAAGTGTAACAGCTGCTGCTAGAGTTGCCTTCGCATTTTTTATCCTTTCGGGCAGGGGTCATACTCCCAACTCCAGCACTGCCCTGTTGAGGCCTTCATTTGTAAGCTATGTCAGTCAGGCGAGCGAACGAACAAGCGGACGGACGAGCTTAAGCCCTCGACCTGGCGCACACAACACTTGAGCTCTAGCAAAAAGGTGCGCCACGCCCCAGTTGGGTCGGACAGGAGAGTCGCATTCAATAGGCGCTTTTGTACTTTGCAAAAAAGCAAATATTTATATTTCAGCTTGAATGCCTGAACGATTGAACTGAGAGCGAAATTTGAACTGTAGCAAATCACACGCGTTTGATTGATTGATGATTCGACAGAAAGGTTACCCGCCCCTCCTCCCTAGACATTTAATATTTATACAAAAAACACAGAAAAAAAAGGGAAAATATCAAAAAGCAAGCAAAAGCTGTGCGCACAAAGGCTGATCCCTCATTGTTACAGCTTCACAGTTGCCATTAATATGCACTGTCGATAAGGAGAATAAAGACGTACCCACCATTTACATAGCCAACCATTTAGCTGTACCTCTATCTGTCGGGTGCTGTACGAAATCAAACAAACGCAATAAATCAACGCAAACGAAATGAATTTTGATTGTCATTGATTTATGTGCATTGCAGTTGATGGCAACTAACTTGGCTGAAGACACGCCCACAGCACACGCAATAAACCAATAGATAATCATGACAAGAGAGATTGTATGCCCTGTACGTTTTGAAAGTGCCTAAATTGGGTATGATCAAGTTTAGTAAATGCTACATACACTTATCTTTTAACGCATACATACACATAGGCACTTAGGAGACAGCATATAATAGATATATGCATATATCAAGATGATTGTCTTAGATGATGTACCCAAGACCCGGAATCCTTCTGTCTGCAAAAGCCTTCGAATGTAGTATTTACGCAATTATCAAGATGTGTTCTTATTAAGCACATATTTTAGCAAAGCTTATCGTACACTCAGCCAATCCAATATATTTTTTACAACTTGAATACTTCCGTAATTGAAGGAAAATATTAGAGGTATTGCCCATGGTATATATACACAATAAATGTTAGTTGTTGTTGAAGCACTCGAAATTCCCCAATGATTAGGCTATCAATCCGAAAGATTTGAAAGAATATCTTCCTATGCTATGAAACAGCAACGGCAAAGGGTGTGCGTGCGTTGTGTGTTTCAGTTTCTATATAAATAAGTATTAATGGATATATATAATACCCTCTCCTAACCAGAAGCCTCATCTGGAAGACAGCATATGCTGTAGCTCTGCCGAGCAAATAAAAACCAAGCAATTAATTTGAATGCCATCACAAATTAATTCATTAACCAAAACAAATTTCAAATATAAAACTAATTAAGTTAACGCGATTTAAATAAAAATACATTTTAATTATAGCAAAAAACGAAAAGATTGTTTTTAAAGAAATAAATGTAGAAATTCTCGAATGCCATTAAAAAAAAGCTGAAAACAATTGCACGCATTCCACAAATCTCTTTCAACATACTTTCTACGATTAAAACACGTTTATTATTACACATTTCTTTAGTCTTTTAATTTTTAAGGCCCTCCTACACATTATTTCTAGCTTATTCTAAATTTAAAATTCATTAAAATTGTGCCGCGTCAAATTCGCGAAATAATTTATAAAGAAATATATCAAAGCAGGAATTCGACTGAAAGCAAGAAAGTTGTTATTGTAATTCCAGGAGCATATTTCAAAGACAAAGTCTTCGTGCGCTGCTTTGGCTATTTACCCAAAACACGGAGAAACCTTTTAAATATAGTAATAATTCATTAAATTGCATTCCACTCGGAACGCGGTCGAAAGAGTAGAAAAACATGTTGCTCGCTTTTAGGCGCGGGCGTACTTTGCATGTTGTGAGTGTTCCATGGAATATGCTCCTTGTTACCACACTCCCGTTGGCCGCCCGCTAATTGTTAAAACTTGCAATAACAATAAAACAAATGCTAAAGCCAAATGTCTGCGGCGTTCAGTCATTGCGCCAGTCAGTTAGTCAGTCAATGTGTCAGTGCGTCAGTTTGTCAAGTGAAAATTAATTTTGAAATGCTGTCGGGCTGTCATCAGCTCTGCTGCTGTTGTCGCTGTAGTTGTAGTTGTTGTAGTTGCTCATTGCTCTACGTGACCCAGCAAAATTAATGCTGATGGGCTGGCTTGGTATATGGGGGGCGTGGCTGTATAAATTATAAGCCTTGAACTTTTGACAAGCGTCAAGGCAGCGCCGAAAAACAAGTGCTTGAGCCTATTTGGCAGCTCTGATAATCACAAGGCGTATGAGTGATATTTATTTAATGCTCAGATATACCCACACACACATCCACCATATATACATGAGTGTGTGTGTGTGTGTGTTTGTGTAGTAAGTAGTTATGCAAATGTTAAGCACACAGCCGCCTTTTGACCTGAAAAAGTCAATACGAAAAACTCTGCACATGACCGCAGCAGAACATCCAAGCACACCCATCCACCCACACACACACCCACCCACCCACTCACACACGCAAACAGTCGAATATAGATGCAAATACATCATACAACAACAACGCATCGTGTTTGCTGCCTGGAACATTGGCCAACAGCTGAGGCTGCCACAGGCGACAAAAGTTTTACTTTTGTAATCTTTCGAATTGAGAAATGAAAAGATTTTGCATATAAATATATCTAGCTGCGGGAACCAATCGCTAGCATATTGTGTTTGCCAAACTAAATATGCAAATTTTATGAAACAAATCAATTCTATAAAATCATGAACAAATTTGCTTTTAGCCGGGTTAAAACCTAAATCGCATAATAAAATAAGAAAATGAGTCTGACATCTTTAAATAAAAAAGAAGATTACGTTTAAGGATGGTTGATTGGTGCAGAAGGTTTTAATTGAATTAATAATGAGTCTTTAATTGGGAACGGGAATAGTTAATAATAGTTTTGATTAAGATGAAGCAGTTGAATCAGCTCAAATATAATCGAATCAATCATAACTAAAAACCATTTGACATATTCTTTTGCAATGGAAAATATACTAAATTAAATAAATCTACTTATCCATCTGTGGTAAGTACTTCTAGTAGGGATGGCTCGAGCTACATGCCAGGAAGAAGAGAAGAAAGTCAAAAAGTCTTTTCTCTATGAACAGAACCTTATTTTAACATTATATATAATAGAATTGAAATACCAACATTAATAAAATTAAACAACTTTTTTTTTTTAATTTACCTTAATTCTATATTTGTCGAAAACGAAACCGTCACATTTGTCGGCTGTCGTCTGGTCTCCCTGACTACTGGCTACTGGATCCCCTACCAAGACGAAACGCAAAGAAAATCGAATTGCGAAAGTGTAAACTTAATTAAGAGCATTGCGAAGACAGTTGATTTTGTTTGATTTACGCGCCAGCAGCCCTCTTCGCTGTAATTATGTAGCCTTCGCCGGGCATATACCATATATAAATCTATATAGGTGGTCAAGCGGTGACCAGCTGTCGCTGATTACCCAAAAGAGGAAAAAAAAAATGGCAAGGACGCAATCCCTGGCATTTCATGGCTCATTAGACATGCACATACGTTTGCACCCGCGTCAAGAGCACAAAACCCAATACGCTGGGTCGCTAATACAACACAACCCCACAGCCCCTACCCCAACCCTATTTGCAGCCCCCCACCTCTGGTGCTTCCCGCTGGCAGCAAATTCAATTTTCTACGACGCCGATTTGGTTTCCGCACGTCTTAAGCTATCGTCGCCACCTTCTACAGCGCTGCCATGAATATAGTTATAGCCCAGCCAAGTTCAGGTCCTTCTCGCCCGCTCCCTCTAGCTCTCTCTCTCTCTCTCTCTCTCTCTCTCTCTCTCTGTGAGGCACTCGATACCGATTTGCGCTGCAAAATAAATGATAAGAATCTGTGTGCGCGCTTGCTCATGAATTACAAATCGCATAAAGAATTTGCCACTAGCTCAAGAGGACGACTCGACTGCAGCAGCGCCAGGATGCAGCTTGTTTGTTTTGGATGCGAGCAGCACCTGCGGGAGTGAGGCCGTTTTCGGACTTGGAGGCATTACAATGTGGCCAACTCTCACTATTTTCGGAAAAAAAAACAAGAATTGCTTTTGTTTTGTTTTAAAATAATTTAAGCTGTTTGTACTCCATTAATCCTTAGACTAGTTTTTTTTTAATACTCACATTAAATTTTTTCGGTTTTTGGTAAGTTGGCAACCCTGGCACGTCAATCACGTTTGCAGGCTTTTAGTGTTTCACTTATTTACAAGTGTTCTTGTAATTCGCAATTGGTTTAAGCGCTTTTACCATCAAGAAGGAATATATAGATTTTTGTTTTTTATAAAATGTAGAATTTGTCAGCTGCTTTATTATGACTAAATTAATTTTTGTCTTACTCTAGTCGTTAAATCGATTAATTATTATTTTTTATACGAATCAGATTGTTGAGTTCTCCAGCATTATTTATAACTATATACTAGAGCTAATTATTATATATTTATATGTATATATATGTACATCTATTATTTTTACATTGCAGAAAAAGTTGTCGTCATCCGCGTTTGTAGAAAAAATTATTATCACCGTTTTTTTTTCTCTCTAAATTGTTTCTTAGTCGAAATTGAAATTCTTGTTGGAATTTTGTGTACAATTTTTTAATATTTGCATTTTTGTAGTATGCTTATAGGAAAATAGCCATTCTAACAGTTCTAAGTAGACTAGTTCTTGAAATTTTACAATAGATTATTGTTCTTGGTATTGTTTGCTTCTTATAGGTATATTATCAAGATACGACAAGTTTATAATTCGGAATAAAAAAATTGAATAAAATTTTACGAGTAAAGGCAAGGTTTTTCCAGATGAAATTTAGAACAATAATGGGAATTGGAAAATTGTGGGGAGAAGAGGTTACAAATTTTTGAAGAGAAAACAAAAGAAACATTTGTTTATAACCTTTTTATAGTTATGTGGTTTACGGAACAGCCATTTCTTTGGGTTTTATTATATATAAAAAAGCATTTGCGGCAGTCGTTGTGGTTAGTATATATATATATATATAGAACATTTATGAACTAACCTTATATGGCTTGTTAAAGTTTATTTTCTATTATGAGCACAATTCAGACAGTTCAACCTCATGTGTGTGTGAGAGGGAGTGTGAGTGTGTGTGTGTAAATGTGAAATCCTGGAACAAACTTCTTAAGTTGCGCTCTTAAAATATGCTAAGGCCACATTTAATTTTACCTTCTTTAATTATATATATATATAATACTAAATTTAATTCTTGAGCTGTCTTTCCTATGTAAAAGCATAATATGATAAGGGGATGAAGAAAATGCGAAAAGCGAAAATTTAATGATGCGACAATCATTTGTATTATGTACACATTAATTATGACAAATGTGAAAGGAAAGAGAAAGAAACAGGTGGAGAGAAAAGAACAAAATTTGTCGAACTGCGTAAATATATCTTAATGAGCCATTATTTAACAAAGACCGCAAATGTAAACAGAGAGAAAGGTGTACATAAATTTTCCAATTGAAAAGGATGCGAGTTAAGGTCAGGTATATAAATTAAGCAAAATACTCCTGAGGTAGTGCCAAGTGTTTCAGAGCAAAATTAATAAATAAACAAGAATAGTAGACGTATCTATAGAAAAGCAGGAAGAGTTAATAATGAGATTTTATGAATTAACAAGAGACAGCAAAAGTTATTGAATAGAGTCGAAAAGGTTATGAAATCATTAAGCATTTCTCAGAGAGAGCATATTCTATATAATGGGAATTATGAAAAAAATGTTCGAGAGCTCAATTAGAATATACTTAAGAATAATAAAGAATTAATAAATATATGTGAAGAACTTGATTGGGAAATAACTGCAGAGAATTGAATAAAGTCTATTCAAAGTCAATTTGATGGTTGGGTTTGGAGCTCAAAATATTGAAATGCGAGTATGAATAGAATGTTGCTCAGTAAGCAAATATGTTATAAATGTATTGTGGTTTAGTAAAATGTTAATTCGAGTCGGAAAGAATATTTTTATCAAATGTTAAGAAATTGTGTACGAACTGTAAAACAAAGAGTTAACAAAGGCAATAGATAAGGGGGATATATGTTAATCACATATAAAAAATGCAACGAAGAGAAAGTTGTCAGATTTATGTTTAAAATGCGAATAAGCGAAACAATCAACAAGTATATAGAACTAAATAAAATGTTATTTCAATCTGAAGAATAATATAATACGCTCAATCAGCTCATAGAGCACCCATGTGATAAATGTATATAAGGGATTAACGATTAATTGAAAAAATAAAATGTACATTTCAATAAATTAATATATAATGCGATTCGAAGAGCAACGGAAAGAATATATTTATCAAATGTTCAGAGTTTGTGTAGGAAATGTTAACAACGAGTGCAATCGAATTAAGGGAAATGTGTAAAGAGAAGCCAAAACAACGGCGATAAATATAATTAAAATTGGAAATGATGAATCAAAATCTGAATAAAATTGTAAATGCTGAACAGCTTATAAAAAGCATGTGTACTAAATTGTCAAGGGTTTGGGATTAAACGGGAATAAGAAGTGAAGCACGAGAACCGAATAGGAATGAGAAAGATTTGGGATTAAATGGGGGAAAAAAAAACACTGAAGCACGAGATTCGAATGAGAATGAGAATGCGAATAAAATGTCTTTCTATTTCAGCTCATCAAAGCTCCTAACCTAGCAGCATAAGCGTAAGTGTAGCTTGGCAATATTCTAATCATAGTTACATATATACAGCCCATAAGAAGAGTGAGAGAGGGTATAGGTTGTAGGTGTGTTCACACCAATACATGTGTGTGTGGGTTTATATACCCTTGTCCGAGTTGCATGCGCATTATCACGCCACGATGGCGGCCATTGTTGACGGGTGATGCGACAAGTCGGCCGCCGTGTGATGATGATCAGGTTGATGATGATGATGATGTGCCTCCGCCTGGCCAGAAAGTTGGGCTTGTTGTTGTGGGTGATGGGAAATGTGATGGACCGGAAAGCTCCACAGTGCAAAAGGCATCTGCTGTTGCACCAACAAAAGCAGTTGGCGTAATTTGTTGGTCGTTGTTCTTGCTGTTGTTGTTGTTGTTGTCACCCTGCTCGTTGTTTGTGTTCTTGTTGTTGTTGTTATTGTCGTTGCCGCTGTTTCACTCGCTGCTGCATCACATGCCGCAGCCATGCCGTCGCCGTCAGCGTCCCGCGTCAGTGGCACCTGCTTGGCGCAGCGCATCTGCAGCTCGCCGCGTCGTCATTCATCCCAGAGGCACTGTTGTTTCTGCCGCACATAATAGGTGAACTGTGTACACTTGCGGCAGGTCTTGATGCCGCAGCGATAATTCGTCTGCTGCTGCTGCTGTTGCTGCGTCCCGGACGTGTCGCCCCCCACGCTTTTGCCCTTGCAGTACTTCAGTCCGCACGGATACCAGCCGATGCAGGTCTCCAGCGTGCACAGGCAGGGCGCCCACAGGCTGCTCACTTCGTTGCAGCGCGTGGAGAGCGCGTCGGGAAATTTTTCGGTTGCTGCCTCCAGGCTGGAAATCGAGGAGCCTAACCGTGCAACAACAGTATAAAAGCACCACCACGCGCATTGACAAAAATGAGTGCGCAAAAATAAAAAGCGGAAGAAAGGAAAACAAAGTGCAAATGAAAATTGTGTAAGTAAAACTTAAATTCACAATTACGCGCGGCAAGCAGCTCGTTAGCAATTTTCCATTCGATTTTCAGCAACTTATCACAAGGGAAAGCACGAACTTGATGCTGTCATTGGGTAAGGTGTCCAGAGAAGCCTTTGCAATGGGCATTTCCATTTGATTTTATGATAGAACAAACTGATATTGACTATTTTCCAATCGGAAACAATCAGCTTTCACCCATTTCCCGCTCTTTAGTGTGGATTTTCCAATTCATGTCTTTTGGCCCCAATTCTTCAGCCAAGAGCGAGGTCTCTCGAAATGTATCTTAAGAAATTAACTTCAAAGCGATCGGATCAAATCGATTTGGTCGATTCATTGTTCGATTTTCATGAGAAACAATCTCCCCAGCCAGAAAAGTTGCATTTTTGCAAAGGTGAATTTACGTTTGAAGATTTGCAAATTGGTTTGAAGCCTACCCATAAAAGAAATATAAAAATTGTTGTATGATAAAGCCCACGCATTTTCCGTCCGAGCTGGTGGATTTGCAATTTGAATGTGGTTTTCACCAATTTTCCACTTCTGTAGGTGAAATTTATCATCACAAGAAAGAGAAACAACTGTGAAATATGTAGATTGCTAATTCTACTTCCACAAACCATAAACCTAATGCCGAATCTACCAATCTCTAATCTATTTTAAGATCTAAGCATTTCACTTGTGCTCAGTAAATAAAAATCAGTTGGAAATACCTTTCGTGGATGCTGCCAAAGTCGAGTCTGAAAATAATTAGGGACTTCGACTTACCTGGCAATTCCGCCCAGGCCTTCAAATCCACATCCCGCACATAGGTGGCATCGGTGGCCTCCGCGCAGAGGGATTGCAGATGCCGTGTGATGGGCAGCGAGCGATTCAGCTGGACCCAGCTGCTCATGGTGTAGGTCTCGCGTCCCTTGTCCTCCTCGGGTGTGCGTATGGTGTGCGGGTTCTTCTGGCGCAGCTTGGCCATTGCATCCGATGAGATGAAATCGCCCTTGTTGAATTTGGTGGCAAAGCACATAACCTGATACTGGCTCTGGCCGCGCTCCTCCTCGCCCAGCACCAAGGCCTTGAGGATTTGCACCTCCTGAAAGAAGATTGTTGCTGGCATCATTTCTCATTTTTAGTCTCGAGTTTATTTTTGTTGCGCTTACGTTGCGAAAGTCGATGAGCTGCGTGATGAGGGTGCCGTCGGTCTTCTGAAACTCGAGGGTAATCAAATCCTCGCCAATATTGGACGTAATGCTCTCCTGTATAACTTCGCCACCCTGCAAAACCAAGAGACAGAAAGTGGGAGAGATGCAACAAGTGTAAGAAAATTCATCTAGACTCTGTGGTGTTCACTAGAATATTAATAGAGACAGAAATGGAAGCACACAAGACGCTGCTGATGCTGCTGCCAGGACACAAATTAACTTGGACTGCCGCAGGAGCAGCGCGACACGGCCCTGAACCTAATTAGAGTCAAGAGACTCGGGTAAAAGAAATAGTGAGAATGCAAACATAAGAAAAATAAGGCGAAACGAGTTGAGGGATTCTCTGAACTCGACTCAGGGGGGTCCATCACAAATGTAGTTCAACAACAGCAGAATACACAACAACAACAACAACAATACGAACACAAAAGGATTGTCCTTACGAACGCGCTTCCAACTGAACTTTCGCGCGTGAATAACACACTGAAAGCAACATACTTTTTCATCATAAACAGTTTTATACAAAATCTGAATAACTTTTGGAAATTCAATACTTATTGGCGTTAAAGCTTATTGACAAAGACGAAAAACTTTATGGAGATTAGTTATTGTTTTTTAATTTAAGTTTAAGAAAATCAACTTCAGCGTAAAGAAAGTGAGAGATAGCGATAGAAAGAGAGAAAAGAACATATTCTTAGTATTTTGTTTGCCAAATCCGTACTATAGAAAAATTCTATTTAATTGTAATGTTTCTTTGTAAACTATTTCAAATCTTGACTTTTTCTTTTAATAATTAAAATAAATATTTTCACATTAATAATTGATTTTATTCTATCTAAATTTTTTAAAATGTTCACATATGTTTGTAAGCATTTATGAATAAGGGAGAATATTGATTTTTAGAAACTTGTTAAGGAAAATGTGTGTTGAACGCAGCTGTCCGTTTATAGAGCTCTCACAGGCCATAATATTCTTGAAATAAATACCCTTTGTATGGATATGGAAATAAAGCTCATCAATAGATATTTGCGCGCACATTAAATATTATATAAAACTGTTAAACACTAACATTAAGATATCAAGAAAACTATATTCATTTCTGCCCTATATTCGCTAGAAATTAACGTAGCATTTTCAAGCTGTTTATTATGCGTGACCTTTGTACACGCAAATTTATTTCTACATTTAATTCACGTTTCCAAATCCAAAAAGTTCAGCTGGGTGTGCACGTGCATATATATCTGTCTGTATGTGTGTGTGTGTGTGTTTAATGCGGTCTGTTTGTGTATGCAATGCCTTTGTGTGTTTGAACAAAGCGAATGTAAACAAAGCTCACGCTGAGAGCAAAAGCAACTGCGACGTCGGCAGAGACGTCGACAGAGTCCGACATTTTGAGGCCAGGGACAGCAACAAAACAGCAGCCCGCAATGTTAAAGGATGTCACATGTAAACAAAAATATAGCATAAGAACGCTCTCTCTCTCTCTCTCTCCCTTACACTCTCGCTCACACATAAATAGGCTGAGCAGCATTTTCTGTTGTACGCGTCTTTTTGGCAAAGCTAACATAAAATTTATAGAAAAGCCAAAGCAAATGTCAATATTATGATGCGATGTAAGACACGTGGTATAAAATAAGTTGGCAAAAACTAAACGAAAAGTCCAAGCCCTCGACGTGACTGGCATTAAATAAAATAGTTCAAGGACAGTTCGCTACATTTATCAATTGAGTGGAAAAAGCATAGGTTTCATCAATTGACAGTTATAATTAGTTCATAGAAAACAAATCAAAGAAATCGCAGCTGATGTATAACAACAACAAATGTTTGCCAGCGCTTTCTCTTTCTCGCTCCCACTCTAACACTGCAGTACACAGTTCTCTCTCACACTTGTTTTGACGCGCTCAATTTCGAAATTGAATGTTCGAAAAGCAGCAGCAACGCCAGCAGCGCTGTCGGCGTCGGCGACAAAAGGCCATTTTGACATTCACATTGCAATCAAATAAAGAACATTTATATAGAAATAACAAATTCAAGAGCAAAACTCACCTGATTTTGTACATTAATCAGCAGCTGCGCATCACAGATATTCGGCGTGAGCAACAAATTGCAGAGTACGAACCAGAGGAAACCGCGACTGTGTCTGAAGAAATGATAACAACTGACCGAACGTCTGCCGCAGCGTCGGCGTCCCGATAGGCGGCAAGTGTTGAGCACATTGCGGTGCACCGTATGCCATTTTGATGGTTTCACTTGCCGAATTATTGGCTTTTTCGATACTAAAATCATTTCGGCTGTTTACACAGTGCAACAAAACACCGCACTTTTGTTTGCACACACACACACACTTTGATTTTGTTTGCGTTGGAAAATTACGCGACGAATTTATGCTGATGCCGGCCGCGCACGTCCACTCACTTCGAAAGTTCAACGCAAAATAACAACAGCTCTGTCGACCATAACATAAATGCTCTCTGAGCTGACAGCAGTTTCGTTCATGAACGAACCAGTTACTGTCTGATGAAATCAGTGCTGCTCATTTGTGCACAATAAGCGGGAATTTATTTTGTAATATTAGTTTCAACTAAAGAGTGATAATAAACGAGAATGCGATTCATTTAATATAATGATTTAATTTCTGACAACACTTCAACGAATGACAATTGCAAATTGCTTGTGCGTTTGACATCTGACGTCTGTCGACAGTGAAGCATCAGCTGTTCATTTCGACTTCTCTTATCAGGGCTGCAATATAAATGTATTGTGCGACCACCACACTTTCTTGGCTAACAGCTGTTCCTCATGTAATGCACTAAATTAGCTCAAAACGCGTTTTGGACGTTTGTGACGTGTTGTATTTTGTAAATTATGTTTTAACATAATTAAGTTAATTAAATTCGAACTCATTCGCTGGCATTTTAATATTCAAACACAGACAACATGTTAACATTGCGAGAACGGCAAATAAGTGCGTTATTTTTCACTAAACGATTCCCAACAATTGATACAAATAATCTTCATTTCTGCCTTCGTTTACAGATGCGATTAAGCAAATGCTTAATTTAAACTCGCAGCAGCCAAAGGCAATGGCTGCGGAGCCCGTGTGGAAGATTCTCATATATGACCGCGTTGGCCAGGACATTATATCGCCCATCATATCCATTAAGGAGCTCCGCGAACTGGGCGTGACGTTGCATGTGTGAGTAATTATTGAAGGGAAGGGTCAGGGTTCAAAAAATGAAAGTTTAATTAAAATTGTTGATTTTAGGCAATTGCACTCGGATCGGGACTCCATACCAGATGTGCCGGCTGTATACTTTTGCCTGCCCACGGATGAAAATCTCGACCGCATCCAGCAGGACTTTTCCAATGGCCTTTATGACATCTACCATCTGAACTTCCTGGCGCCCATCACACGCAGCAAAATTGAAAATCTGGCGGCGGCTGCCCTGCACGCCGGGTGCGTGGCGAACATTCATCGGGTCTATGATCAGTATGTGAACTTTATCAGCCTGGAAGATGATTTCTTTATACTGAAGCATCAGCAGAGCGATCAGCTCTCCTACTATGCCATCAATCGTGCGAATACGCGCGACGAGGAGATGGAGGCACTGATGGACTCGATTGTGGATTCACTTTTCGCGCTCTTCGTCACGCTGGGCAACGTGCCCATCATTCGCTGTCCACGCAACAGCGCTGCCGAAATGGTGGCCCGCAAGCTGGAGAAGAAGCTGCGTGAGAATTTGTGGGATGCGCGCGCCAATCTCTTTCACATGGATGCCACACAGGCTGGTGGCGGCGTTTTCAGTTTTCAACGTCCTGTGCTGCTGCTGCTCGATCGCAACATGGATCTGGCCACGCCGCTGCATCACACCTGGTCATATCAGGCGCTGGTGCACGATGTGCTCGACCTGGGCCTGAATCTCGTCTACGTGGAGGATGAGGCGGCAGCTGTCAGCACGGGCAAGTAGCCAATGTACAACTGATTAACCTTCGGCTCGTCACAATTGACCTCTTCTTTAGGTGCACGCAAGAAACCCAAGGCCTGCGACCTGGATCGCAGTGATCGTTTCTGGGTCACGCACAAGGGCAGCCCGTTTCCCACGGTCGCAGAGGCCATACAGGAGGAGCTCGAGTCCTATCGCAATTCGGAGGAGGAAATCAAACGCCTGAAGACCTCCATGGGCATTGAGGGCGAATCAGATATTGCCTTTTCGTTGGTCAACGATACGACTGCTATGCTGACCAGCGCCGTCAATTCGCTGCCTCAACTGATGGAGAAGAAGCGTCTCATCGATATGCACACCAAGATAGCCACAGCTATATTAAACTGCATTAAGGCGCGACGGTTGGACTCTTATTTTGAGATCGAAGAGAAAATCATGTCCAAGCAAACGCTGGATAAGCCGCTGCTGGAGCTGCTGCGCGATGTTGAGTTTGGCCAGCCAGAGGATAAGCTGCGTCTGTACATCATTTACTATATTTGCGCACAGCAGCTGCCCGAGCCGGAGCTGGAGCGTCTGCGTGAAGCGCTGCAATCCGCCGGCTGTGATCTAACCGCGCTCGCCTACGTCCAGCGCTGGAAATCCATTATGAACCGCTCGCCGAGCATCAGTCAAGCCACACAGTACGAGGGCGGCGGCACCAGAACCGTTTCCATGTTCACCAAGCTTGTCTCGCAGGGCAGCTCCTTTGTCATGGAGGGTGTCAAGAACTTGGTTGTCAAGCGACATGTAAATATCAACTGAAGATAAGGCAGTGAGAGAGTTGAAACTAAATGTATTTCCATTTTTCTTGCAGAATTTGCCCGTGACCAAGATAACGGAACAGGTCATGGAATGTCGCAGCAATGCCGAAACAGATGATTATCTCTACCTGGATCCCAAGCTGCTAAAAGGCGGCGATGTGCTACCCAAGAATCGTGCTCCATTCCAGGATGCTGTTGTCTTTATGGTCGGCGGCGGCAATTATATTGAGTACCAGAATCTAGTGGACTTCATCAAGCAGAAGCAAACGTCCAATGTGCACAGACGCATCATCTATGGCGGCTCCACGCTGACCAATGCGAGGCAATTCCTCAAGGAGCTGTCCGCACTGGGTGGTGAAATACAGACGCCCTCAGCGAGTTAGGAGTGGCTGCTTAACTTTCACTGCTGCTAAGCGGCCGGGGATGAGGACGAGGATGAGACAACAACAAGAACTGTGTGTGTGCGCATGTGTGTAGCTTTTTCTTATATATACATATATATATATATATATTAAGCATATCCAAAAATAAATGAAATGCAAGGCAAAAAGTGGACGGCTCTGGTGCCGTGGGCAATTACTCGAACTTGACGCGTAATCCCCGAAGGACAACAAGCAAAAACATGCGTAGCCGCGTGTACAACAAGCGGCAGCTAGCTAGAAGGAGGGGGGGACAACAACACCAACAACAACAACGACGACAGCAACCGCTCGCATTCTAGGCGCCCATTAACACCAACTTGGCAACGCTTTGATGGACAGCTCTGACAGACAGCAGTCAACGGCAGCACTAGAAGACGACCACGACCACGACGACGACGGCGACGGCGACAACAATTATGGGGCGACAACTATGCGCGGCACTTGGGGACTGAGCCCTTGCAATTAACACCGAACACTCGAACTATGAATGGGAACAGTGGCTCCAAAACTATTTCAAGCTGCACAAACTGAGACTAGAGAGTTTTTAGTGCTTGATAAATAAATCAAGCAACAAATGCAAAAAAATGTTACTACTTAAATTTAAAATATTTAAATATTGGATATGCAAAAAGGAATTTATATTATATATATATATGCATATATATATTGTGTTCGCACTTGCAAAATTGAATTTTTGTAAAAGCCTTTCGAATTGTTCTTTAAAACAAACTTAATAATTTATGTAGTTATATTAATGTTAAGTACTTGAATATCAATTTTTACAGCGATAAAAACATATTCAATTTCTTAACTTCATTTGAAGTTTGATTGATAATTTGATAAGTAGTTAAAATTATAAAATATTTATAACTTTAAGTTAAATTTCTTAATTTATTAAAATCAAAAATGAAAAGCAGATTTGTTTTCATAAATATTTCTTACCTATTATATTCATTTATTATAGTTTTTATGGGGTATGCATAATATTAAAGAAACATAAAATAATGTTTATCTACCGTCACGAAATGCTTTATGTTAATTTTTTAATCTCTCGGCAAATAGCTTAAATATTTACAGCTTGTATCTGTTGTTAAAAGCACTCCAGACCTTTTAAGCATGACATTAAAGTGTTTTTTAAAATTGATTAAAAGTGAATAAAAATATATATTATTTTTTTCTAAGATATTCTTACTGAGATGATTTTAAATGTATTCTACTAATTTTTTTTAAATATGATTAAATGCATTTCATAGTCTTAAAATAAATAATAAAAATTAAAAATATGCACCCAGAATTTAAATGGTATTTTTATTTTATCAATCATGGCTGATTTTTACTTATAACTTCTATTTTTATTTAGAGCTGAATTGTGTGCATAAACTACATTTTATGACAAACCGTTTTCTATATTTATTTTAAGCTTTTACTCACCCTGCAAAATGTGAATCATTTTCAGTATTTCGAATCTGGTTTAGTTGGCTTAGAAGCCAAGAATTATTGCCGAGTCCAAAAGAGTTGTTGGAAATATATCAAGCAGCAACATTGAGTTGGCTAATTAACACTTTTCGTAAATCAGAATTGATGGCCATGTTGAAAGCGGCCCAAGAGATTTAAGATGAAAATGAAGATGATGACGTTGGTGATGGTGATGATGATGCCGATGACGGGCGATGATTATTCATGGAGCGCTACGTTTAAATATTGGTTTTGGTTGGGTTGGGTTGGGTTACGGCGACGTCGGCTACCCGTGGCTACAATTTAAATGTTAACATAAACAAGAGCAATTTAACAAAAGCCCAGGCCCCAAATCCCAAGCCCCCGAAACCCAAAGTGATTTCACGGGTGGTCCAAAAAGATGCGCTCAAACAAATCATAAAATCGTATGGAGCAAAAAAACTACAACAACAAAAATAAGAAAGAAACTAACAACGCAACATGAAAGAAATGCTACTCGTACAGCCATGAATCGATTATGTGGCCACTGTGTGTGTCTGTGGGTGTGCGTGTGTGTGCCGGTGTGTGCCAGTGTGTGCCGGTGTGTGTATGTGTGTGTAAATATTGTTGAGGCACATAAAGAACCACAGCGGCGAGGTAGCTGAAAAATGGTCTGAGGCAGCCGTTTCCCACATTCCTGCTGCGAAACATAATGGCTGCCGCTGTCGTCGTCTTCATCGTCGAGTCATATATATATATGTAGAGAGAGAGAGAGCCTTACATATGTACATACATATATCATAATCTTAACAACTCTTAACAAGGCTGAACAAATTCCAAAATTCGAAGAGCCTCGTCAGGCGGGCAGAGCCCAACAAAAAGCCACAGCCAGTCAGACGGCCACAGAACAACGAACAACGACTACAAAATGAAGTGGACTCACACACACACGCACACACACATGGCCTGAGTGAGAGGCACATGAATGGAGTCCAAGTTTGGGAGCCAGTGCAGCAGCCATAAACCTTTGGCTCTTGCCTTAGACTTGACTTTGGCTTCGATTTTTCTCTCAGCTCTTGCCGCACCGCTCGCACACGTGAAACGATCCCATTTTATTTCGTTTTTGGTGGGCTGCATGCACAAATGGATTCCATGAGAAGTTTATCTCTGCTTCTTGTTTTCTATATCTTGCTTACAATGGCAGCCACTCTTTTGGAGTAAATTATATTTTATAAGTGCAAAATATATTAGAACTATAATTGGATTGCTCCACAATTTTTTTAAGGAGCGTATTTCAGAATATCTTTGAGTGTTGTGGGCAAAATGTGGACAGAAATTTGGTAAAAGCTCTGTAGACTTTAGCCGGATGGAACATTGATTTTTATTATTAATTAATTTATAGATTTTAAGGTGTAATTTTTGTATAGTTATAGTTCAAATATTCAAATGTCTTGGATATATTAAAAAACTTCGAAACAAAACGTATTTGCAAAAAAACCTTAATTCCTACTTTAATCATATTTAAAATTTTCTTCACATTCTGGTATAGAAGTTGAATAAATACTTCTCATCATTAATAATATTTATATCACATCATTTTAGATAAATAAATTTAGTTTATTACGTTTTGTTACAAAAATTTCATTATATTTAATACAATTATTAATTATAGCTAAAATGTAGCTCCAACAATGGAACATATTCTCTTTTTTCTTAGGCTTAAAGAACAAAATGTTCGAAATTTAAGGCCCTGAAATTTAGTTTCTATCTTGAAAACAGATTGTTCACATTCGTCAGCTAATTGTTAACAAAATAACAAATATAAAAATAAAAAAAGATTATGTTGAAATGGAAGATACACGAAGAATTCGATGATGAAATCGTACGAAAAACCTTAAGAAAATATAAGCAACTGATTATAATGATGAAATATGTGAGAAATGTTGATGATCGAAAAACTCGTGTACATCCTTAAGAGAGAAACAAGAGTATATGAAGCGATGACAACTATGTTGAACAAGAAGAGATTTGTGTACTAATGCGGGGTACATTTACAAGATTATTAATTAATTGGCCACATCCACCCATTACAACAGCTTACTATGAAGGAAAGCTATATTTCAAGGTTTTTTAAACAACCGTAACATAAAGAAAACTTAAATATACATTTGTACAACAAATTCCTTATACCATTTCACATGCTGACTACCACAAAAATTGCACAAGATTCATCTTAAGTCCGACAAACTGTCACCTTGGGCTTCTAACAGTGCTGTTCAAACTGCTTGGCTCGCAAACTGTGCACCTTTGCATTCATATGCTGGTTTATTGTTTTGTTATTGCTGTTGTTATTGTTTATGCCTGAATTGCTGCCGTTGGCGTCTCGCGTGTGTATGTGTGTGTGTTATCCTTGCCGCTGCCGCTGGCGTTGTTGCCACCTTCGGTGGTCCAGTGTGGCATGTTAATTAATCAACCAAATAATAACAGAGAGCAGCCCAAGAAACGAGCCGAAAAAAATACTAAAGCAGGCCAAATATTTGCCGACAGTTAAAGAGCAGCCGGACACCGTTTATGGATCAGCCAGCAGGAGCTGAAGGAGCTGTTGCTTGTTGGCCTTTGTTAGCGGCTTGTTAGCCAGCCAACAACAACAATAACAGCAACAACAACAACAACAATAAACAAAAAAAAAAAGAAGTTATTTATATAAATTGAAAAGTTGATGTTTCATGGCTTTTGGCCATTTCCTGAAATCATAAAAAATCGCACCGAAATGAACACAAATAAAAAAAAAAAACAAAAAATTAAATAAAACAGTTGCGTGACGCATCAGCTGCCTGGCCACGCCCATCAAAAGCGAAAGCCAAATGTTTGGCGCTCGCATCATTAAAATGCACACACACAGAAAATGCAGCTCATAACTGTGCTGGATCAGATCTCAGCATTCAGCTCTCGGACGGGGTGTCATTATCCTGCCGCAGTCGCAGCCACAGCAACAGCCACAGCCGCAGGCTTTCCACAAGCCGCGCCTAATGGCCACCAACAGCAACAACGGCAGCCGCGGCAGCGACAGCCGCTCCCCGAACAGCTTCATCAAACATAAACAAACACACTGACATCGTTCGACTGACCAATGCTGCCCCGGTTACCTCCCCCCCAGCCCAACACACAGCCAGGCACAGTGGGGCAGGACAGGCGAAAGTTCACAGAAAAAAAGCAGAGTTTATTCCACCGGGAAAAGGTTTGTCTTCATTTTTTTGAATATTATTATTTCAGTTTGAATTGTAATTCAAAAGATAAAATAATTATTATTTTGAACTTTTTAACTGATTCCGAAATTTCTGTTGCATACTTTGAGGATCAATTTTTTTCAAATTCCATCATGAATCATTTTTATGTGTAATTAATTTTTTAATTTAATTCAAATATGAACTGCCTACATCGTTTTATACACTTGTAGAGGGTATATTAATTTTGTCATGTGTATGTGTAACGCATATTCCTTCTATGGAATATGGGATCTCCGACCCCATCAACTATATATATTCTCGATCAACATCATCAGACGACTTCATGTTCGCCTGTCTGTCATAATGTATCTTACACTCATATAGCTTATATTCTTATTCAGATTCTTCCCT